GTCCTCTTTGCCACAATTCCGGGTTGCTTGAATGCCGCTTCGATAGTAACATCTACCCTACATAGCTTATTGAACTGCTCGCTGAAATCGGTGTCCTCCGTCGCGTCGATCATGTTGTCGGTTTGTCGCTCCTTGAAAAGCGCACTATAGATACGGAAACAGACGATGCTGGTAGAGTTCAGCTTAATTCAGAGAAGCCCTCCTTTTATATGTTCACAAGGGCCACGTTTGACGGTTCGAAAATAGTATGAAGGGTTTTTAGCCTCAAAAGCCTTTGTTCCAATGGAATGACAATGGAATGAATGGAACTCGGTTGGCTCGGAAAGGTACCGTTTCCGGGTTCGTTATCTAGACCATGTGGATGGTAGTTCACCACTCCGCTCTTGCATCAAATGATTTTTAGGGATATCATTTACCTTGTTCTCAACTTATTTGTTATCGTAACGCTATTACAAACGCGTACCAGTCAAGCAGGAAATCCAATTGTGTGACAATGGAGTTCCTTGGTATTACCTCACCCCACCTCCATACTCCGCTGTCAAATTTACGATTCTGAGTTGGCTTTCTCCGAGACAATTAGAGTTTATTCAATTCACTACTTGAATATTGTTCCCTTCGACTTTGCGATGGTCAGGAGATCATGGTCACACTGTTTTCGAGTCCCAAATGACTGGAAGAGAAATGATATTAACTTGATATTCCCAAGCTGATAATAGCTCAAAAGCTGGACTCCAGTTTGAAAATGATTAGTAAAAGGTCATTTGTCATTCTTTTCATGAAAATCGGAAGCGATCCTCATCCTTTCAACCCAGCAGATTTACACGAAACTTTACTGCATTTGAATTCAGAGGGCAAGTCAGTGTGAAATCCTCGCCAGATCCGTTCACAATTTTACAGCCCCCGGGCGAAATCTTCATTTTGGTCACGTTACACGATCAGAGTACTTCAATCATTCCAATTCGATAACAAAGGAGCAAAAGCTCTGGCCAAAATGGAACAAATTGTCTTATGAGCCAACAAAGAGTTAGCCACTATTTGAAACAACTTTTATTTATGTAATGGAAGATATAAAAAACCTAATGGTTTTGGAAAAGTAAAGATTAGAAGAATGTGAGACAGAGGCGCAAATGAAACATACCAACTCAATAAGATGTTGCACAATAGCGTAACCAGGATGGAAAGGTGTAGCAAATGTCGGAGGTGGGGAATCCTGCTTTACTACATGTGACATTGGCAGTGGTGTCGAGTTGGTTCGAGTAGTTGAAGTGGTCGTCGGAGGGCTCTGCGACAGTGTCTCAGCAAAGGCTCGGTTGACGTTACCTGGAATATCAGCAGAGATAATAATGTCAATACAAATGGAATGAAATGTTTTGGACGCTCAAAATATTTCCTTCACCAAAACGCCATAGCCTACCGCTCAGACAACTTGGCAGAAAAGGTTGGGCGCCTGATGATGGTTGTGAACTGCTTGGTGACAGCAGTAATGGATTGATAGACATCAGCATTGGCACTTTGGTAGACGACTGCAAGAGGAGCTTTCAAACGCATTACTTTTCAAAAAACCGAAGATTATTCATCGGCCTATGCGGTATATTATACATTTGAAGGAATGGCGTAACCCACCAGCAGTTGTTTGTTATTTACACCGCGCTCATCCCCCCCCCCNCCCCCCCCCCCCCTTTTTTTTCGTCAGTTCTTGATCAAGTTACTTACCACTGATGTCGAGGGACCCGTTCCTTCGTCGGCACTAGGAGATCCTTGACCAGTGGCTTTTTTCTTGTGTTTGTCGCGTTCCGACTGCACAGCTAAATCATAAAAAAACATAAATGCAAAGGGACAACGGCATGTATGCATTAAAATAAGACGGGATCAATGTCAGAAGAATTAAATTCCGTTGAATAGTATTATATTTTACAAAAAAGATCGTTTTCTCAAACTCACATCGGGCGTCCATTCCGACTTCGAAACATTTCCGGAGACGACATGCACGACAGCGATTACGATATTCTTGAACGATTTGGCATTTACTTCCAAAACGACATGTGTAGTCACGCTGCTCCCAGATACTGTAATGATGCCCATTTTTCGAGAGCAGCGACTTTCTCAGCCCAATCATGATTACAAAGCGGATTTTCGCAAAAATGTCAAATGGTAATCAAAAAGAGAGGAAATACTGATTTATCTCAAATTAATATCATCTTCAATNGCAAAAATGTCAAATGGTAATCAAAAAGAGAGGAAATACTGATTTATCTCAAATTAATATCATCTTCAATAGAAAATTAGTGGACGATTTCTCTACAGATTGCAGAAAATCATCTACAGTTGTCAAATCCTGTTCTTGAGACCGCTAGAGGACTAGAAGAGAAGCGGTGAAAGATGAAAAGAAGGGAAATTAGTTTCAGGTGAAATAGCACTAAATGGTGCTTTCACAAATTCGGGAGAAACCCCGCGTTCCCCGTTACAACGGGAGAGATGCTTTCGCTCAAATGGCATTGCAATCGTCTTCCAAAAAGCTGGAAGAAGATTGTTCATTTCCAACCTTCTATATAGTCACTGAAGCTGCCCACCGTTTGTACTGCACAGCAGCTATGGTATCCCTTCAATATTATCTGTCATATGACAGGCTCCCGCCGAAGAAGAATCATTCGGCGTCAGGTCAGGATCAGATATGAATATGGAAAAAAAACTTCACAAATAGTCATCAAAATTCCCATAGTATGGTTATCACCGCTCCTTTTTGGAATACAAGGCACCGGTCAGAGCTAAAACACAGAAAGTATTCCGAATCTTTTGCTCGATCTCTCCAGAGACTTCTCGTCCAACAATCTATCATCTATGAATAAAATCACCATCATCGAAAAGAAATGTCAGTCCCGCAGAACTCAAATTCACACTTTCCCGAGTGGCGATCGAAAACGTCATAGGTCAACAAAGACTCAAAAGGTTAAAAGTCAGCGGCTGTCAACTATTAAACATAATCTCTGTTTCGCTGACTTAACCATTCTCATAACACCAAAAAAACGGAAAAGCAGAGCGTTTATATGCAAATTCCAACCGCTCACGTGAAAATGTCGGTCTACGTCTGAATCAGATCGAGGACGATTTTAAAAAGCAGTTGAACGACAGAAAAAATTGTCAATATCTCTAATGGCGTAGGTGGTGGAGTGACAAGAAGCGCACTATCCCGCGCATAGTCTGCAGGTCGAATCCAGCACCGATATCCTACCAAGCCAGCCGAACCTTCCGCTCAGTCTGTGATAAGACAACTGCCTTGTACATCTTGAGATATAAAGGAGCCAAAATGTTCCGTCTCCGTCGCAGAACGATTCACAGCTGCTTGAGATCAATTAAAATTTCTTGCTGACAATGAGTGGATTGTTCGACGAAAATTGTTATCTTTCCTTTTGTAATCTCCTTTTTGTCTAACTACCATTAACTTCATTTTGACTAATGACAATTTTCAAAAGCTCAGAACAGTATCTCTGCAAAAGTACACAAAACGAGCCCGCGCCGACTTTTTACCGCAGACCACCTACAGAGAACCCCATGAGGTCATAAATCAGAGGAAAGAGCAAACATTCGTGGTTTTTTTTTCTGTCACCACACAACAAGACCTCAAATGCTCCCGCTTGAAGCAAGCCGCCCAGAGAAGATCAACTTCAGCATAAGAAGGACCGGAGTAAGGAAGAATAAAGCAACAAGGAGCAGAAAAAAACAAACGAAAAACAGATTTCGTTTGAAAAAAANNNAAAAAAACGGAAGGGCAAACAACTACGGATCTTAGAAGAAGAAATGGGGAAAAACGGAACAAGTGGAACCGCAATCAGCCAAGTACGAAAGATTGCCAACGAATCTTAATAGAATCCCCTACAACTTAAAATTTTCGGATTTGATCATAGGTGCCTCTTTTCCTAGAGCTTAGTGACAATCACTTCACTGAGCTTTGGAAAAAAAAGAGACGGGGATAAACCTAATGCTCCCGAACACAGTAGCGTATGGAACTAAACTTTTCATACCTTCGCCGAAAAAATCCCTTGCAACCATTACAAGCGATCGTACCATAGTGACGGCCAGCACGAGAATCGCCACATACGCGACATTTCATCCCTGAATATAAGTAAATTAGAAAATGGAACACCCAATAAAGTGGCACATTCGAAAGAACAAGAACAATGCTCCGTAGGTGAATCTATCTACCTAAAATGTCAATAGGAAACAGCAAGGAGCTACTTAGGATCTTTCTGAAAATAATCTGTCTATTGTGCCTATCACAAGAATTATTTTAGGAAATTCGTACCTCACTACAAAGAAATATCGAAACGCTCTCATTGACTGCAAGAAGGAAGTTATTGTTATGTATATTATGTATGAATGAAGTAACAACAAATCAGGAGAAGACAAAGGAGCATGAACCAATATGCCCCCCGATTTATTAATAGTAATACTCAAAGAATAAAAAATTAGTATATCTAAGTAGTATTATGGGTGGTTCAGTAAGTTGACTTTAATTAGCATTGTGAAATATCATGCGACATGCCCAGAATTCAAGAAGACCGAGCGTAGAAATTGCTATGGATGCTCGTTCACTCACCCAGAAGTACCCAGACGAACCGCTTTATTATGACCCTC